GTGTATACGGGTGATCTCACAGCCAAGATACCATGAAATGATGCGAAAACCATGGCCAAATATAGTGTTCACGTGTAAACTTAAAAACTGATGCAGAAAGAAATTGCCATGAGATGGCATGCCCACATTATTTCTAAAGTTGTTTGATAGATTTATTTGTCTCCTAATATGCACTGGGCTAGATACTGTAGGGGAATATACAAATGTCTGTCACCAAGTTCACATCCTCCAGAAACTGCAAACTTAGCCAAGGAAAAACAAGTGTATTGAAAATAGGTCACACCGAAAGAATGATTAAAAAGCAATTAATTAACTGCCATGGATATGGGAATCAAGCAGGCCTTAAAGGATGAGTATGATTTTAATTAATCAGAGATAAGAAAGGCCATTACAGGAGGTCATAGTATATCCCCTAGTTTCCATGACACTATACTTTCATAGATTCCTTCATATGTCTAAAAGCACTTTCTCTGAATCACATGCTAGCCTATTCTTATTGTATTATTATTACTTGTTTTTTTAAAGGCACTTAATTTTTTTTTTAATTTTAAAAAATTTTGGCTGCGTTTGGTCTTCGTTGCTGCACGTGGGCTTTCTCTAGTTGTGGTGAGTGGGGGCTACTCTTCGTTGCAGTGCGCGGGCTTCTCATTGCAGTGGCTTCTCTTGTTGCAGAGCACAGGCTCTAGGCGTGCAAGCTCAGTAGTTGTGGCTTGCGGGCTCTAGAGCGCAGGCTCAGTAGTTGTGGTGCGTGGGCTTAGCTGCTCTGCGGCATGTGGGATCTTCCAGGACCAGGGCTCGAACCCGTGTCCCCTGCATTGGCAGGCAGATTCTTAACCACTGTGCCACCAGGGAAGTCCCTCTTATTGTATTATTATCATTACTGTATTTACCAAGGTCTTGTTCTTGGTCTGTTCTTTTTTTAATTAAGATTCAAGGAATTCTATCTCACAATTTTAATTACCAACTACCTTATATTAAAGATTATAAACTTTCTTATCTAAACTCCCATTCCATTCAGATTACTGACACTGAAATCCCCCTATATTTAATTGCCTTCAGAAATTCTCTACTCAGTATGAACTTAACTTGTATTACCATTCACTCACCCTACTTATCTCCTCTGAGATATTTTCATGGGCCAAATCTGATCTTCCCCTTTTCTGAAGTTCTATAACATTGATCATCTCTAAAACTCACTGTTTTAATTATATGCTGGCTTGCACTATTTTTTAGTTGGTTCTTATGTATATGTCCTATCTTTCTCATAAGGTTACATTCTTCTAGAGTGCAGAAATTATACTTTAGCTTTCTTCTATATATCTCTTTATACACAGAATGCCACATGCATAAGAGCTGTATTCTAACTGTTCATTCCTTACTGAAAAGGATAAGGCTAATAATGTCAAACATCAAATAATGCTGAGAGTCAGTTCATGGAGGGTGGTGTTGACAAAACGTACTCTGAAAGATTCTCTGATTTGCTCCCTCTTTATGACTGTCTTAAGTTAAGACCTCTAAATTACTCTAGAAACTTCCCAACTGGGCTTACTTACAATCTCCTCTCCTATGCTGTTGTCAAAGTGATCTTCCTAAAATACAAATCTGATTTTATCACCGCAATGCTCAAAGTCTTCCAATAGTTTCTCAGTGCTGTAAGGTTTGAAAAAACCCCAAACTTCCCAGCATGTTTCATCTCCTACAGTTGCCCTGGTACTTAACTGCCCATTTGTCCTCCTTCCCTCCTCATATGCTGTTTCCTTGTCTGAAATTTCCAACTGCCTCCTCTGAATCCTATTCAAATTAAAGTGCTATCCTGTTTGTGAACAAGACTTTCCATGGTGACTTAAATGGTTTTCTTCTCTGGAATCCCAAAGCACCTTGTACATGATTTTATCATACCCATTAAAGTATATTACTACCGACTGTTTACTCTTCTGTCTTCCATCTCTGTGTCCCTAGCACTTAGAATAATGCTTTTTATTTAGGAGTGCTGAATGGAAGGAAAAGGCAGGAAAGAGAAGATCTTTGAATGTGATTAAGAAACAGGTCATTGGTGATGTTAGAAGTGGGTAAGAAGGTGAAAAAGAGTAGAAATACAAGGAATGAAGGATGCAATTGGTAGAATGGAAATATTCATTTCAAAAATCTGGCAAGGAAAAGAAAAAGAAATGGATAAAAGATAGAAAATATATGATAGTCAAAGAAAGGCTGCTCCTTTTTAAAACATAGGGTAGCTGACCAAGTTAGAAGGTGAAAGAAAGCAAGTTGAGAGGACAAACCAGAAGGACTAAAAAGACAGTAAGTATAGGAATCATACCCTATACTAGGAGGACAGGGAACACTGAGAGAAAGGCTGGAATGAGACTGGAAGGATACAGGACAGCTGTAGAAACAGAGATACTTCAAAGTGAACAAAGAATTTCAGGCATGATAATTTTCATTCTTTCAGTTTCCCAAACTAGAAATATTAAAAAAAAAAAATCTTTGGCACATTCCTTCTCTCCAACTGCTTTAATCCATCTCCAACTCCTATCACTTCATTTCTTCTTTTCAAATATCCTTCAGATCAGCTCTTCCTCTCTTGCCACTGCCACTGTTCTTCCATAAGCCTTCATCATCTCTCAGCTGAATTAATGCAAAGCTCCTAAGAAGTTTCTAATTCTAGTGTCTCCACCATCAAATTTAACAGGAAAGCACATCCAGCCCACTCTCAAACATTCTCTGTGAAGCTTTTTCCCATCCCCTTCCCCACCAGAATTAATCACCCCCTCATCCAAGCTACTAAACAGGGGTTGGCCAACTATGGTCTGCCAGTCAAATGAGGCCCCTTGCTATTTTTGTAAATAGTTTTACTGGAACACAGCCATTCCCATTTTGACTACATATTGTCCATGGCTGCTTTCATGCTACAACAGCAGAAATGAATAGCTGCCAACAAAGACCATATGACCCACAAAGACTAAAGTTATTTATTATGTGGCTCTTTATAGAAAAAGTTTGCCAACCTCTGGACTATACCATTATATTTGCATTTTACTTTAATTATTAACTTATAATAATGATAATAAAAGTTGATATCAGGCACTTACTGAGATGGGCACTGTTCCAAACAATCAGGTACATTATCTCATTTATTGTTTACAACATTGCTAAAGGGGCAAATATTATTACTATTTCCATTTTACAGATGAGAAAACTGAGGCTTATCATTCCAGACTCCATGCTTTTAACCACAACACGAATAATGACTACACTATCTTTCTTGAGCTTATTAAGAACAAAGATCATGCCTAAATCATCTTTGTATTCCCAGAGCCTAGCACAATGCCTGACCTGGCAGGTATTCCATAACTGCCAAATTAATCTTACTAAAATAACCACTTTTACCCTGCCTTCTCCCTGATCAGTAATACCCGTTAATGACTCCATATTGCTTGCTGCATTGAGTCAAACTCTAAACTCCTCTGACTGGCATTAAGTCTGACCATAATCTGGGACAACAGTACCTAGGAAAGTTTAAAAACGTTAATAATGATCAACTTCTTTTTCAGAATTGGCTACTCTTCCAATAGTAGTAGTCACACTGGCTACTCGCCGTGTGACTCTAATTCAGCACAGGAAATAAACTAATCTACCAATAAAACTCACCTGCCATCACGGGATCTGTGGAGGCTGCCATGGTAGCTGCTCACTTTGCTGTGGACACTCCCTGCTTTGCTTCTCTGATCATCCACCATGGCCAGCTGAGTTGAAGAAGCATGTGTGGATGTTCCTTGAGTGGAAGTTCCTCTTGATTTTCTTATAATAGGAGTATTTGGATCCCTCAGGAGGGACTGAGCGAAATCAGGTTCCTGGAGTACCTGTCGGCTCTCATTCACTATCCTAGACAACAGAATACTAAGTTTAAGATACAGACTAACATCTCTACTTCTTTGACAAACTGATGTTATTCTTGAAATTAATTCCTTCTTAAATAATGTCTTTAGGACAGATATAAGGTAACACTGTTGACCGAAGAGAGGATATAACAAAAATCTGTGTCAATCTGTTCCCAAAAGTGGTATGATAGAAAGAGGTTCGTATTAGAATAAGGAAATCAGGATTTTAGTTCCAACTCTGTCAATAAATATGTAATCTTAGGCAACTCATCATCCCCTTTTCTTAATTTTCCTCATCTATAAAATGAAGGTATACAATTTCATCATTTCTAAAAAGTCCCTTTCAGCTAAGGAAATTTATCATTCTCAAGGACACTGAAATATTACAAAGGTACTATTATAAAGTAGAAATACTATTTTCTTGCATGGTTTATGGAAGTAGTAGAGGCCTCATCATGGCACAGACACATTTTTTAATTTGTAAGAGCAGTTGTTTTAAGGTAACAAGTTGACTTTATAACAGAGCATTTGTCTAGTGCTGGAATAAACATGAATGATCATAACTAGAACAAAACACGTGAAAAATTAATTTAAGCAAACATACAATTAAGTCCCGGACCCATTAAAGGCTTAGGAAAAAAGAATTAAGGGGATGAATTATGTCCAGAGCAAAAGGTTTTTTTTTTGTGGTACGCGGGCCTCTCACTGTTGTGGCCTCTCCCGTTGCGGAGCACAGGCTCCGGACGCGCAGGCTCAGCGGCCATTGCTCACGGGCCCAGCCGCTCCGCAGCATGTGGGATCTTCCCCGACCGGGGCACGAACCCGTGTCCCCTGCATCGGCAGGCGGACTCTCAACCACTGCGCCACCAGGGAAGCCCCAGAGCAAAAGTTTTTAACTGCTATGAAAGGGTTAAAAGCAGACAGATGTTCATGATGATGAACAAAGTGGTAATTAATAAAAGAACCAATTAAATAGTTGCAAAGGTCGGTGTATCAGTTTGTGTAAATAATGACTATGAGAATCATACATAAAGTTAAAATTAGACAATTTCATTAAAAAAAACTCTCCAACATGTAAAGATTGGATCATAAATTGAGAAAGTGCATATATTCTAAGTTTTCGAATTAGAAAAAGATCATTGTTGTTATTGCCGTTGTTGTTTTAGTGCTGGGGTAGAAGGGCTGAAGGAAGACTAATATTTGTTGAGTACCTGAATTGTGCCAGGTATTTTACATATACTCTCCTTTAATCTTTCTTAATAATGTTTTTATTACAGAGATTAAGTCCTAAAAAGATATTAGATATCCATTAAGAATAAATATTGTGAGCCCCATTTTATAGATGAAGAAACTGAGGTTCTAAGGGATTAAAGGACTTTCCAAAAGTCATACAACAAAACAGCAGTTGGGGGTGTGAGGGAGGGAGATGCAAGAGGAAAGAGATATGGGGACATATGCATATGTATAACTGATTCATTTTGTTATAAAGCAGAAACTTTGACATACCACTGTAAAGCAATTATACTCTAATAAAGATGTTTAAAAAAACAAAAAACAGCAGTTGGGGATCAAACTTAAGTGTAAATGGCTTCAAAGACAATCATAAAGTAATGATAAAACATAATGTTTATGTATATGATAAAAACAAAATGTCAAAAACTAAATAGAATAAAGAACAACTCAAAGATACTTAAAACATTTGTTCTTGTGTTATCAATGGCCCTATTCATATATACATACATCCCAAGTCACTCTGGATTGCTGAATTTGTTTTCTAAACTTATTTTTAAAAATTGGTTCAAACTGACTTCTGGTCATTCCAAAAATTTAATCCACCTTTGAATGGTGAAGGTCTGTCCCCTCATTTTACAAATAAGAAAACAGAGGTCCAGAGAAATTAAGTGCTGTGACCCAGATAATTCCAAAAGAAAATTTCTAAAAATATTTCCATCAGTGTCAGAAATATTAGCATAAGCACAGTCTTAAATGTGGCTTCACTCAGAGGAAGAACACTAATTTGATTTGCATAATTTTAGAAGCCAGTATTTTGACTCACAGTATAACAGAGGGGTTAAGAGCAGGCTAGAGTCAGACTGCTTGGGTGTGAATCTCAATTCTACCATTCACTAGCTATTAAACCTTGGTTGTATGCCTCAGTTTCTTATCTGTAAAATGACGATCTCCCTCACAAGGTTGTTTAGAGGATTAAATGATTTAATAATATGTAAAATGCTTAGGACAGTGCTTGGAGTATTAAGTGTGCTCAATTAATTGGTAACCATTATTATGATTACTCCATAGTCATTTCTCAAAGGCTCAACCAGACAAATGCTAGAAATGGCTGCAGGGTGCTCACACTCTTGAGGAGTGGTACTCTAGCCCAGAGCATTGGAGGGTCACAATGACTTTGTTGGGTTGGGGGGGTGATCCACGGTTCCAGAAAACCAAATAGAAGGGTTCTTGGAAGTTCTAACCAGTTTCAAAAGGATTCTGACCCAACCAGGATCCCCCAAATAACTGGAAAGATTCCCCAAAAGGGTAGCTTGGGCTTAGCTCCATCTGGAGTTTCTAGTACAACAGAATTGTTGTATTACAGAATTGTTTGTGTATGGTCCAGAGATGACCAGGAATGTTTAATTCAAACCCTCAGAATTATGTTTTACTGTGATTAAAACATATTTAAAAATTTCAAAAAATATACAGATAAATCCCCCAAGGAAGGATGTTCCACAAAAAGCAAGGACTTGGCCTGTTTTGTACGCTACTGAATCCTTGGCATCCCAATATAGTTCAAAGCACACAGTAAACATTCATTAAAGACTTTCTCAAAGGATGAATTCTTAGGAAATACATTTTTGTTGTTGAATTCATTTTTCCCCTTCTTTCCTTCTCTGCCCTATGAAACTGTATTTAAAGGGGAAATGCATTATCTGATATTACTAGCAGTAGTCTCAGATATGGTAATAAGAAATGTACACTTTAAAACTGTGATTTTAAAAAATCTCAATCTAATCGATGTAACAGAAGCTGCTAATTACTGGTATTTTAGAAAATACAGATCCTGCTAATGCAGTACTTTGTTGTATAAAAAAAGTACATTAACCCATACAAGACACAATAACATTTTAAATATAATCTTAAGAGTTTTATAGACTATCCCACCAAATCCATTTTCCATGGAACTTAGGTTAAGTAAAATCATAAGAATATAGACTCCACTAACTTAGAATCTGTGATAATTCAAATACAGTATACATATAAGACTTATACTTAGTAAACACTCTGAAGTCATTTGTTCCTTTGTGAATACTGCAGGGTCTTATTTTGTTTTGTTTTGTTTCATTAATTATGGGCTCAAAAAATTCAAGATTCCTCAAATATGCCCTGAGAAGACTGCTTTGGCAAATCTTATATTTTACCATGACAGTCTAATATGCAATGTGGCCAACTATGAATTAAAATAATTCCTTTAACATATTCCATGTTATCTACTAATATCATTTTACTATTTTAGCTTTAACGTGTACTGCATGAGAATGGAATAACATGCTGTCTCTTTAAATAATTTATGGTACAACCTGGAAGAATGATGGACAGTTGAAAATGGAAGTCTAATCTAATACCTATGTGACTTCAGCCAAGGCACTTAACCTCTCTGTGCCTCAGTTTTCTCATCTGTAACACTGAGATAATACACACCAGTCCTCAGAGAAGTGTCAAGAAGATCAAATAAGAATATATATAAAATCATTAATTTGTTTTTAATTTTAAGAAGATTATGATTTGGATTTTTTAAAATAAAGATATTTTAAATATCTTTATTTTTTAAATATCTTTATAAATATCTTTTAAATATCTTTATTTTTTAAATATCTTTATAAAGATATTTTAAATATCTCAAATATTCTGAATTACTAAGGAATAGGCCTTAAGCCTGGTTCTACTTGGCTATCTTTTCTGAATAAGTTTTTAACTGTGACTTAAGGTTTAATCATAACTGGTGGAAGCTGAGGTTACAATCTTTTTGGAATACTTCCTCCAAATCCAAATTATTTTAACACAGGAAACACAAAAATATTGCGTAAATGTGAAGTTTGTGAACACCATGATAATTTACTTCAACTTACTCTTTTTTCCTACGACCATGAAAAAAACTGGCCCATTCAAAGCATGTCTTTTTGCTTCCAACCCAAAAAATGGAAGGAATACCAACTATGAGAGCCATCAGGTATTTCATCAGAAAGACAATCAGGTCTGGACGACTCATTTGAGTAACCTACAAGAAGGGAAAGAAAAATATCTTACACATATAAATAGAATTTTCTATTAAAGGCCATTATAAAATCTTTTAAATAAAATAGTAAAAATAATTCTGCAAGTCTGACATTTTCACTTACACAGTTCTATAGTTAATTTTCTTGTTATATGGAAAAGTCACACTACTGAAAATTTGACAACAAATTTGTTCTATATTTTGAGTTCTACAGTCTTCTTATTAGCTCATATTGGATACCTTCTAAAGAAAAAGATTACTAATATAGAAAATAAACCATGAATAGGAATCGAGGCTCAAATAATACCTATATTCTTCTTGGCCAATTTCACTCATCTTATCATTGGTCATCACAATATACAATTAGAAAAGTGTTAATCTTTCCCCCCCATTTTATTAATTTCTGTTTTTATATTTAATATGCTCTTCCTTCTACCTACTTTCATGTTTACTTTGCTGGCTGTTTTCAAGCTTCCTCTTTAACCTATGAGTGAGTTTTTTAGTTTCTATTCAGATGAGTTTTTTTTAAAGTTCTCTTTATTGTTGATTTCAAGTTTAGTTACTGTGGTCATAGAATGTGGTCTATTTGATTCTGGTTACCTTAAATTTTGGGGACTTCTTTTGTGATTTAGGACACAGTCCATTTTTTAAAGTATTCCTCGTGTGCTCAGAAATAACGCTTACTCTCCATTTGTTGGGTACAAAATTTTCTATGTGTATTAGATCAACTTTATTAGTTGTGTTGTTCAAATCTTCTATACAGGCATCCTCTGAGATATTGTAAGTCTAGTTCCAGACCACCACAATAAAGCAAATACCACAATAATGTGAGTCATGGGGATAATTCTGTTTCCCAGTGCATATAAAAGTTATGTTTACACTATAATGTAGTTGAATAAGTATGCAATATTTACTCATAAGTGTCTAAATAACAATGTTCATACCTTAATTAAAAAATACTTTATTGCTAAAAAATGCCAACCATCATTGAGCCTTCAATGAGTCGTACTCCTTTCGTGTGGAGAGTCTCGCCTTGATGTTGAAGGCTGCTGACTGATCAGGGTGGTGGGTGCTGAAGGCTGGGTGGCCGTGACAATTTCTTAAAATAAGACCACAGTGAAGTGTGCCTCATCCGTTGCCTCTTCCTTTCATGAACAATTTCTCTGTAGCAGGCAATGCTGTTTGAAAGCATTTTACCCAAAGTAGAACTTCTTTCAAAACTGGAGTCAATCCTCTCAAACCCTGCCACTTCTTTATCAACTAAGTTTATATAATATTCTAAATCCTCTGTTGTCATTTCAACAAGATCTTCACAGCATCTTCACCAGAAGCAGATTCCACCTTGAGAAGTCAGTTTGTTCATGCTCACCCACAAAAAGCAACTCCTCATCCATTAAAGTTTTATCACGAGATTGTAGCAATTTAGTCACATCTTTAAGGCTGCACTTCTAATTCTAGTTCTCTTGCTACCTCCACCACATCTGCAGTTACTTCCTCCACTGAAGTCTTAAAGCCCTCCAAGTCATCCATGAGGGCTGGAATCAACTTCTTTCAAACTCCTGTTAGTGTTCATATTTTGACCTCTTCCCATGAATCACGAATGTTCTTAATGGCATCCAGAATGGTGAATCCTTTCCAGAAGGTTTTCAATTGACTTTGCCCAGGTCCATCACAGGAATCTCTATCTATGGCAGCTATAGCCTCAAACAGTGTAATTTCTTATGGGAATTCCCTGGTGGTCCAGTGGCTAGAACTTGGTGCTTTCACTGCAGTGGCCTGGGTTCAATCCCTGGTAGGGGGACTAAGATCCCACAAGCTGAGCAGCACGTGGCAAAAAAAAAAAAAAAGTTTATTTCTTAAATAATAAAGACTTGAAAGTTGAAATTACTCCTTGATCTGTGGGCTGCAGAGTGGATGTTGGGTAGGCAGGCATGAAAATAACATTAATCTTGTACATCTCCATCAGAGTGCTTGGGTGACCAGATGCACTGTCAATAAGCAGTAACATTTTCAAAGGAATCTTTTCTTTTCTGAGCAGTAGATCTCAACAGTAGGCTTCAGTAAACCATGTTGTCAACAGTTGTGCTGTCATCCAGACTTTGTTTTTCCATTTAGAGAGCACAGGCAGAGTAGATTTAGCATAATTCAGAATGGTAAAGGAACATTGGCTTCAACTTAAAACTCACTAGCTACGTTAGCCCTTAACAAGAGTCACCCTGTCCTTTGAAGCTCTCACGCCAGGCACTGACTTCTCCCCTCTAGCTATGAAAGTCCTGGCGGCATCCTCTTCCAATATAAGACTTTCATCTACATTGAAAATCTGTTGTTCAGGGCAGCCAGCCACCTTCATTAATTTTCTTAGCTAGATCTTCTGGATAACTTGCTGCAGCTTCTATCTACATCAGCACTTGCTGCTTCACCTTGCACTTTTATGTTATAGAGATGGCCTCTTTCCTTAAATCTCATAACGTCTGCTAGCTTCAAACTTCTCTTCTGCAGCTTCCTCATCTCTCAGCCTTCATAGAATTGAAGAGAGTTAGGGCCTTGCTCTGGATTAGGCTTTGGTTTAAGGGAATGTTGTGCCTGGTTTGATCTATCCAGACCACTAAAACTTTCTCTATATTAGCAATAAGGCTTTCCCACTTTCTTATCACTAGTGTGTTCACTGGAATAGCACTTTTAATTTCCTTCGAGAACTTTCCCTTTGCATTCACAACTTGGCTAACTGTTTGGCTCAAGAGGCCTAACATTTTGCCTGTTTCGACTTTCAACATGCCTTCCTCACTAAGCTTAATCATTTCTAGCTTTTCATTTCAAGTGAGAGATGTGCAACTCTCCCTTTCACTTGAACCCTTACAGACCATTGTTAAGGTTAGTTAGCCTGATTTCAATATTGTTGTGTCTAAGCTAATAGGGAGGTCCAAGGAGAGCATTTTATATGCACATGGAAACCAAAAAATTTGTGTGACTTGCTTTATTGTGATATTTGCTTTATTGCAGTGGTCTGGAACCAAACCTGCAATATCTCTGAGGTATGTCTGTAATGTGAGAATTACCAAAATGTGACACAGAGACAGGAAGTGAGCAAATGCTGTTGGAAAAATGGTACCAACAAACTTGCTCAACACAGGGTTGCCACAAACCTTCAATTTGTAAAAAATGCATTATCTGCAAAGCACAATAAAGCGAAGTGCAATAAAACAAGGTACATATGTTTTCCTGACTAATTTTCTGTTTACCTATCCATTTTAATAGAGGTATGCTAAACTGTGGGTTCATTAGTTTTCCTTCTAATCCTGTCATTTTTCACTTTTAAGCCTATGTTACGTGTTATATAAATGCTCTGGCTGCCCAATTTACTTTTTTAGTGCTCTTCACCTTTAACAGTATTTTATGTGACATTAATATTGCCACATCAGCTTTTTACTTCATCATACCAGCACATCTTCAAGGTGTATCTTTTCCTATTTACCAATGTATTTCTTTCAAGTCTGTTTGGGTTATACTGCTGCTTTTAAACAATATATAGTTTATTCCTTCTAAAGTATAAACTCCATGAGGAGTTTTTTTCCCAAATGGTTTTATCCCCAGAGCCTAGACCAGTGTCTGGCACATAGTTAAATGCCCAATAAATACTCACATACATTTACAATATATACTTATACTTTGTTTTATGAGAAAAAAATTACATTGAAGATTATTCAGCACTGCTAGAGACTGGTTTAAGATGGCAGAGTAGAAGGATGTGTGCTCACTCCCTCTTGCGAGAACACTGGAATCACAACTAACTGCTGAACAATCATCGACAGGAAGAAACTGGAAATCACCACAAAAGATACCCCACATCCAAAGACAAAGGAGAAGCCACAGTGAGACGGTAGGAGGGGCGCAATCACAATAAAATCAAATCCCATAACTGCTGGGTGGGTGACTCACAAACTGGAGAACACTTATACCACAGAAGTCCACCCACTCACTGGAGTGAAGGTTCTGAGTCCCACATCAGGCTTTGCAACCTGGGGGTCCGGAAACGGGAGGAGGAATTCCTAAAGAATCAGACTTTGAAGGCTAGCTGGATTTGACTGTAGGACTTCAATAGGACTGCGGGAAACAGAGACTCCACTCTTGGAGGGCACACACAAAGTAGCGTGCGCTTCGGGACCCAGGGGAAGGAGCAGTGACCCCAGGGGATACTGAACCAGACCTACCTGCTAGTGTTGGAGGGTCCCTTGCTGAGGTAGGGAGTGGCTGTGTCTCACCATGAGGACAAGGACACTGGCAGCAGAAGAACTGGGAAGTGCTCCTTGACGTCAGCCCTCCCAGAGTCCGCCATTAGCCCCACCAAAGAGCCCAGGGAAGGCTCCAGTATTGGGTCACCTCAGGCCAAACAACCAACAAGGAGGGAACCCAGCCCCACCCATCAGGAGACAACAAGATTAATGTTTTACTGAGCTCTGCCCACCAGAGCAACACCTAGCTCTACCCACCACCAGTCCCTCCCATCAGGAAACTTGAACAAGCCTCTTAGATAGCCTCATCCACCAGAGGGCAGACAGCAGAAGCAAGAAGAACTACAATCCTGCAGCCTGTGGAACAAAAATCACATTCACAGAAAGACAGACAAGATAAAAAGGCAGAGGGCTATGTACAAGATGAAGGAACAAGATAAAACCCCAGAAAAACAACTAAATGAAGTGCAGATATGAAACCTTCCAGAAAAAAGAATTCAGAATCATGATACTGAAGATGATCCAGGACCTTAGAAAAAGAATGGAGGCAAAGATTGAGAAGATGCAAGAAATGTTTAACAAAGACCTAGAATTAAAGAACAAACAAACAGAGATGAACAATACAATAACTGAAATTAAAAATATACTACAAGGAATCAATAGCAGAATAACTGAGGCAGAAGAACGGATAAGTGACCTGGAAGACAGAATGGTGGAATTCACTGCTGTGGAACAGAATAAAGAAAAAAGAATGAAAAGAAATGAAGACAGCCT